AACGGACGAACAGACGGATGGATGGATGGATGGATGGATGGATGGATGGATGGATGGATGGATGGATGGGTGGGTGGGTGGATGGGTAGATGGATGGGTGGATGCGTGGGTGAGTGGGTGGATGGATGGACGGACAGACGGACGGACGGACGGGTGGGTGGATGGATGGATGGATGGGTGGGTGGGTGGGTGGGTGGGTGGGTGGGTGTGTGGGTGGATGGGTGGGTGGGTGGATGGGTGGATGGATGGATGGGAGGGTGGGTGGGTGGGTGTGTGGGTGGATGGGTGGGTGGATCAATGGATGGATGGGATGGATGGGTGGATGGGTGGATGGGTGGGTGGGTGGGTGGATGGATGGATGGATGGATGGATGGGAGGGTGGGTGGGTGGATGGGTGGGTGGATGGGTGGGTGGGTGGATGGATGGATGGACGGATGGGAGGGTGGGTGGGTGGGTGTGTGGGTGGATGGGTGGGTGGATGGATAGGAGGGTGGGTGGGTGGATGGATGGATCAATGGATGGATGGGATGGATGGATGGATGGGTGGGTGGATGGATGGATGGATGGGTGGATGGATGGATGGATGGATGGATGGATGGATGGGTGGGTAGATGGATGGGTGGATGCGTGGGTGAGTGGGTGGATGGATGGACGGACAGACGGACGGACGGACGGGTGGGTGGGTGGATGGATGGATGGATGGATGGATGGATGGATGGATGGGAGGGTGGGTGGGTGGGTGGATGGATGGATGTGTGGGTGGATGGGTGGATGGATGGATGGGTGGGTGGGTGGGTGGAAGGGTGGGTGGGTGGATGGGTGGATGGATGGATGGGAGGGTGGGTGGGTGGGTGTGTGGGTGGATGGGTGGGTGGATCAATGGATGGATGGGATGGATGGGTGGATGGGTGGATGGGTGGGTGGGTGGGTGGATGGATGGATGGATGGATGGATGGGAGGGTGGGTGGGTGGGTGGATGGGTGGGTGGGTGGATGGATGGATGGATGGATGGGAGGGTGGGTGGGTGGGTGTGTGGGTGGATGGGTGGGTGGATGGATAGGAGGGTGGGTGGGTGGATGGATGGATCAATGGATGGATGGGATGGATGGATGGGTGGGTGGATGGATGGATGGATGGATGGATGGATGGATGGATGGATGGGTGAGTTCGTGGGTGGATGGGTAGAAAGAAGGAAGGAAGGATAGATGATTATAGTAGATGAATGGAAGGATACATGAAAAAGGACAGAAAGGGTGATGGATTTGAATGAAGGAAAGAGGGAAGGAAGGAAAGAAGAAAGCAAGGAAGAAAGGAAGGAAAGGAGAGGAAGGGGAAGGAAGGGAGGGAAGGTGGGTACAAAGGAGTAAGGGAAGGAAGGAAAAAGAAGGCAGGAAAGAAGGAAGGAGGGAGGAAATGGAGGGAAGGGAGAGGGAAAAAGAAAGGGAAGGAAGGAAGGAAGGAGAGAAGGAGGGAAGGAAGAGACAGACTCGGTTTCCCCACTAGCTCCGGTCAGCCTGGCCCTCCACTGAGGGCTGTGGTCTGGGGCGTGTTCCACGCCCGCCGGTCCTGGGGGTGGCTGACTGGACCCTCCTCGGCACCCTCAGATCCCAGCCGGTGCCCACCCACCCCGACAAGTGCCCACCCACCACACCCCAGGGCACCCCTGGGAGCGTCCAGCCCACGCCCAGTGGAGCCCCACCCCCCCTCCCAGTGTGTCTCCACTCACAGAGGGGCTGGAGGGTGGGGGTCAGTCCCTAGGTGCCCCCCGGAGCCGGGGTCAGTGCCCTCAGCCCTGCTCTGAGGAAGGACACACACACACATACAGACACACACACACAAACACACCTGGGGAGAATCAACCGTACTCCACACTCCTTGCCCCAGAGACACCCCTGGAAACAGAAACATCCGGAACCTCCCGAACCTTGGCAGTGGGAGGGACAGGGAGGGAGGGGCAGGGAGCGACACTCACACACAGACACACACACACACTCACACACAGTGATACAGACAGCCCCCTCAGGCACAGACACAGACAGACACACACACAGACAGACTCAGACACCCTCGTCACACACACATAGCGATACACACAGGCTCAGAACACACACAGACACAAAGACACACAGACACACTCAGATACGCCCCTACTGATACACACACTGTATACACACACACACAAAGACACAGACAGACACACTCAGACACTCCTCCCTCACACACACATAGTGATACACACAAGACACTGCACACACGGATACACACACAGACACACACACACTCACACACAGTGATACACACAGACAGACTCGGACACCCCCGTCACACACACATAGCAATCCACACAGGCTCAGAACACACACAGACACAAAGACACACAGACACACTCAGATACGCCCCTACTGATACACACGGACACTGTATACACACACACAAAGACACATACAGACACACTCAGGCAACCCGCCCGCACACACATATAGTAATACACAGAGACTGCACACAGACACACACACAGACACACTCAGACAACCCCCCTGCACACACTCATAGTTATACACTCAGACATACACACACACACAAAGGCACACACAAAGACACAGTCAGACACACTCCCCCGCACATATACACAGTGATTAACACAAACACTGCCCACACAAAGACACACACAGAGACACACAGACACAAACGCACATTCACATGCAGACAAAGCCCCCACAGACATGCAGACAGCTCCCCCACACACATAGAAACACACACAGACATAACATCCCCGCAGACACGCAAAGGCAGACAGACCTACGCAGACACACCCCACGAACACAAACACCCAGACACATATATACGCACACGGGCAGACATGCACACACACACACACACACACACACACACACACACACACTCAGAGACCCAGAGACACACAGACACAGACACACAGGCACAGACACAAAGCAACATGCAGCACACAGACACACACAGAGACACCCCTTCCCCCCACCCAGGGCCTGAGCTAACTTGGGAAGGAGAGAATCCAGGCCTGGCCCCGGAAACCGTTTCTGGGGTAGCGAGGCGGAGAGGACGCGGCCAGCCTCACCCGTCCCCAAAGTGCAACCCCGACCTCAAGGAGCCTGGGCAGACTGGGGGACCCATTTCAGGCTGCGGCTGATTTAAGGACACGTTCCGAGGGGGGGGGTCCCCCGTCCCTGGTCGCCTGCAAATCAGTCCCGCTTTGCACGTTGCAGTTCCAACCCCGGTCCCCTCCGCAAACACCACCCCCAGGGGTGGCCACGTGCCCAGACCAGCCTGCAAAGTAGACTGGGGGGGTGTGTGGAAAGTTTGGTCAGGGCTGGGGATATGCCCCCCCCCCCCGCTCCCCAAAAAGCAATCGATGGAAAAATATATTGCATTAGCCAACGTCTCTCCAGAAAGGAGCAAATATGAACCCGGCGGCCAGTTTTCTGGTTCAGCATGTCCTGGGGATGCCGGGACATCTGTGCCGGCTCCAGTTCCAGGGGACACGGGGTGAGGGGGGTCCCCTTCCACCCCACCCTCCGGGAAACCCCTTTCTCTTTCTTCCCTCCAACGCCCGGGGCGAAAACAAAACCAACCAACAAACCAACTAAAGTCCTACAACAGCATGGAGCTCTGCACGCTCAGAGACACCCCAACTTGGTCGCTTGCAAAAGTGCCCAGAACCCCCAACTTGGGCGTTTGCAAAAGCGCCCAGAACCCCCAACTTGGGCGTTTGCAAAAGCGCCCAGAACCCCCAACTTGGGCGTTTGCAAAAGCGCCCAGAACCCCCAACTTGGGCGTTTGCAAAAGCGCCCAGAACCCCCAACTTGGGCGTTTGCAAAAGCGCCCAAAACCCCCAACTTGGGTGTTTGCAAAAGTGCAGAGAAAGCGAGTGTGGAACACAGGAACGGCGCCCGCTTCACGCGCTTCCCTTCGTCTGTGCATTAGGGGGAGGGGTCGTGGAGAGGGACGGGAGGGGGGCACAACTTTTGGGGCACAACTTTCCGACTGTTTCCTTTCCCTGCCTTATCTACCCTCACAAGCAAGCGAACGCGCCCAAAACATTTCCTTTGACTAAGGCCTGACTCGGCCTGGGGCCTCCCCCAAAAAGTTGCATACCGTGGGCGGGCGCTGGAACGCGCCCGGCGCACCCCAAAAAACGTGGGCGTCCGGGGAGGAGGAGGAGGAGGAGGGGGGGTTCCTACGGACGCCTCCTGGTCACCCCGTGTCCCCTCTCCTCTCGCTGGCACCCCCCCTCTCCACCGCGCGCGCCCTGGCCAGCAGCCCGAGTCTCCAAATTTAGGCCCGGGACGCACAGGGCGTGGCCGCCGGGGCGCGGGGAACAAAGGCGGCGGGGAGGAGGGTGGCCCGGGCGGGGGCAGCTCGCCCGCGGCTCCCGGGGCTGCCCCGAGGGTCCCCGGAGCTCGGACCCCTCTTGAGCGCCCCCGGGGACGCTCGAACTTTGCAAAAGGGGAGCGCCCAGGGTGCGTGTTCAAAGCGCGCGCGCGCGCGCTCAGCGGGGGCGGCCAGTGGCCCCCAAGCCGGGTCCGCCCCGTTCCGCGCGCCCTGCTCCGGGCACCGCCCAGCACCCTGATGCCCGGGGCTCGCGTGCCCACCCCAGGCCCCCGTGGGCATCGCGCGCGCGCGCCTGCGCACGTAGGGGCACCCAGTGGGCGCCCCGCTGGCTCCAAGCCAGGTCCACCCTGGTCCCGTGCACCCTGCTCCGGGCACCGTCTAGCACCCTGCTGGCCAGGCCTGGCATGCCCAGCGCCCACTGTCCAGCTCCTGCCCCGCGCGCCCACCCCAGCACCCCCGTGGTCACCGCGCGCGCGCAGGGGCAGCCCGTGGGCGGACGCCCCGCTGGCCCCAGGCCCGGACCCCGTCGTGCACGCGGCTCTGGGCACCCGTCCAGCACCCGGCTGGCCAGGGCGGGCCTGCCCGGCGCCCCCTGCCCACGCGCGCGCCCACCCCGGACCCCCCGAGCTCACCCTGCTTGGTGGGCAGCGCGCAGGCCAGCAGCGCGGCCAGCAGCAGCGCGACCTGGGTCCGGCGCGACATGGTGTCTCCCCGAGTGCAGCAAAGGGCGGCCCGGCCGGGAGGGGAGGACAGAGGGCGGGAGGGAGGGGACAGCGTCGCGCCCCGCCCGTGGGCAGGCGGCCCGCGCGTCCCGGGACCCGGCCCGCCCGGCCACGCCCAACGCAGGCCACGCCCACGACAAACCACGCCCACCCAGAAAGCCACGCCCCTAGCAGCGCCTCGCCCGCCCGCAGTAGCCACGCCCACCGCCGCTTTGGCCAATGAGGGCTTGTCAGAGTCGCCCCGCCCACCGAGGCCACGCCCACCGCAGTAGTTGCGGCGACTGCCTAGGGCCAAGCGTCTGGCTCCCTGCAGCCCCGCCCACTTTAGCCCTGGCCAATGGGGACCCGGCGCAGTCGCCCCGCCCACCGGAGCCCCGCCCACCACCCAAATAAGGTCGCCCCGCACACTGAAGCCCCGCCCAGCACACAGTAATGTAGCCCCGCCCACTTAAGCCCCTCCCACAACCCAATAAGATCGCCCCGCCCACTGAAGCCCCGCCCACCACCCAAAAAGGTCGCCCCGCCCATAGCCACAGCTTGGAGACTCCGGCCCAAGGCAGGTTGTCCCGGCCACTGTAGCCCCGCCCACCACAGTTCTGACCAATAAGATGGCCCCTGGCCACCAATAGCCCCGCCCCATACAGCTCAACTTACAGCGGCCAGAGCAAGTTCGCCCCGCCCAGTGAAACCCCACCCTCGGCAGCCCCATCCAATGAGGGCTCGTTTGAGTCACCCCGCCCACTGAAGCCCCGCCCACCACAGTTCTGCCCAATAAGATGGCCCCCTGGCCACCATAGCTCCGCCCAACACAGCTCAACTTACAGCGGCCAGAGCAAGTTCGCCCCGCCCAGTGAAACCCCACCCTCGGCAGCCCCATCCAATGAGGGCCCGTTTGAGTCGCCCCGCCCACTGAAGCCCCGCCCACCACAGTTCTGCCCAATAAGATGGCCCCCTGGCCACCATAGTCCCGCCCAACACAGCTCAACTTACAGCGGCCAGAGCAAGTTCGCCCCGCCCAGTGAAACCCCACCCTCGGCAGCCCCATCCAATGAGGGCCCGTTTGAGTCGCCCCGCCCACTGAAGCCCCGCCCACCACAGTTCTGCCCAATAAGATGCCCCCCGCCACCATAGCCCCGCCCACCTCAGCAGCTGCCGAAGGCAAGTTGGTCCGCCCACCGCCGCCCCGTCCAATGAGGGCCCGGCAAGCCTCCCCGCCCACATAGGCCCCGCCCACATCCTTACTAGCCCCGCCCGGCCAGCCACGCCCACCGCAGAAGCTCCGCCCAGAATCCTCGCAGTCTGGGGACCATTCTTATGATAGATGCTCCAAACAGATGCGGTACCCGGGCCCGCAGCGCGCCCCGATTCCGTGGTCCCGGAGCCCACCTAAATCCCAGCCGGGCACTAATCCAGGCTCAGGGCGAGGGTGTCAAACTCCCCCGGTTCTCCTGGCTGGGAGGGGAGAAAAAAAACAAAAATAAATAAATACCTGCCCTCCCAGGGAGTTCCCTGTGCGTCCTCAGCGCCCCCCAAGGCATCCCCAAAGGGCTCGGGGGACAAGTCTAAGGCCCCCCCCCCGGAAGCGGGATGCCCCTCGCCCTCAAGAGCAAATGCTCAGGATGGGTGCGGGGTCCCTGCTGAACAGCCCTCCTTGCTCTTTCTGGTACCTTTGCACGCTGACCCCCAGACTCTCAGAGTTCCCACCCCCTCCCAGAAACCCAAAGTAGGAGACAGTGACCTGGATGGAGGATAGCCCAGCGGGGAGGGCGTTGGCCTGGCATGAGGCCGACTGGGGTTCGATCCCCGGCATCTCCGAGGGTCCCCCGAGAACCTCCAGGAGTAATTCCTGAGTGCAGAGCCGGGGGTCAGCCCTGAGCATTGCTGGGAGCGGCCCCACAGAAACCCAAAAATAAATAAATAAGTGAATATATTGGGGGGCTGGCGTAATAATCCAGCAGGGAGGGCGTTTGCCTTGCACGCGGCTGACCCGGGTTCGATTCTCAGCATCCGTTAGGGTCTCCTGAGCACCGCCAGGAGAATAATTGCTTTTTTTTTTTTTTTTTTGCTTTTTTTTGGGTCACACCCAGTGATGCACAGGAGTTACTCCTGGGTTCATGCACTCAGAAATCTCTCCTGACAGTGCTCGGGGGACCCTATGGGATGCTGGGAATCGAACCTGGGTCGGCCGCGTGCCAGGCCAACGCCCTCCCCGCTGGGCTATTGCTCCAGCCCCAAAAGCCAGGAGAAAAATTCTGAGTGCAGAGTCAGAGGTGACCCCTGAGCATCGCCCCAAAATAAAAAAAATAAAAATAAGAAGACGACAGGGAAATGACTGTGTTTTCCCTGCACACACACACACACCCACACACACACAATGCAATTCCTCACCCCCAGAGAGCTAGCTCAGTCTCGAGGACACACACACACTCTTGCATTTCAGATTCCCGTGTGCACACGCCCAATGCCAGGCTACATTCCCCGGCCGCCCCTGCAAGACATTCACTCCTCACCCCACCCCAGCCCAGCGGTCACGGGGTCAGAGGGAGGGCAGAGGCAGCCGGCTGGCCTCCTGCCTGGCTCCAGACCCCCCACCCCTAATGGACAAAGGAATGTTTATCTGACCAAGGCAGTCAGAAACCGGGACCCTGTGCTGCGGTTTACAGCCTGGGGAGATAACCTAATCACTGCTGGTAGCCAGGGCGCTGGCCTTTTCGCACAACCTGTCCCCTGGCTCCGTGTCCCTCCCTGCCCCACGCCCATGCAGGAGAATCTGGTTGGGGATGGGGGGATGGGAAGGGCCAGGCAAGGAAGTCCTGCTTGGGACCCCAGGATATGCCGGAGCACTGGCACCCACTTTGGCACTTGGCGGCAGCTGAAGCCTTTGGCGTGAAGGGTGGGGGGAAGAGTCACCTTGACGCCGGCCGCCGGGTGCGCAGGGCAAAGACAAATCCGTCCTCGGAAATTCTCCAGTTTGTGGAGATTTTTTCCAATTTTTCCCATGATTTTTTTTAACTTGTGACCTTCAAACCACACACACACACTTTAAATTCTCACTCATCTGATCTCTGCCACGTGCTCGGTCCTGGGTCCAGAAAGTCTCGAGTTACCTGCACTTTGACCAGGGTTTGGGCGAGGGTGAGAGGGAGCTGCCTTCTTTTCCTTTGGCGCACCCAGAGGTGCTCAGGGCTGACTCCTGGCTCTGTGCTCAGGGCTGACTCCCTACTCTGTGCTCAGGGCTGACTCCCGGCTCTTTCCTCAGGGCTGACTCCCGGCTCTGTGCTCTAGACTGACTCCTGCTCTGTGCTCAGGGCTGACTCCTAGCTCTGTGCTCAGGGCTGACTCCCGGCTCTGTGCTCAAGACTGACTCCCAGCTCTGTGCTCAGGGCTCATTCCAGGCAAGGCTTGGGGGGAACCATCCGTGGTGCCGTGGATTCAATCTGGCTTTCGAGGCCAACACCCTCTCCGCTGAGCTATCGCTCCAGCCCATTTCTGGGCTGCCTTCTGCCCTCCGGGGTCGGACGCCCAGCCTGAGCCCTGAACCAATCCGCCTGATCATCATCTCGCAAAGCCCAGACTCAGAGGCTGCAGAGAGAAACTGGCAGCCCTTGTGGCCTTCCCCAACTCGAGAAGACGCCTTTTGGCTGTATTCACGGTTGTTTCGGGCATCCTAGGAGGAAGTTTCCATAATATCTGGCAGCCTTGCCGGCTGGCCGCAAAGAACTCTGGGCCGAGGCGGGCGTGTGACACAATTTGGAAAGAGATTCAGCGGCCTGGCCCGAGAGCTTCTCACGCAGAAAGCCATCGGCCCGTGCACTGGGCCAGGAGTGCAGGCAGGGCCCTCCAGGTTGAGGCCGCCTTTTGCATCTGCCTTTTTCTTGGTTTTTTTTTTTTGTTTGTTTGTTTGTTTTTTTGCTTTTTGGGTCCCACCCGGCGATGCTCAGGGATTCCTCCTGGCTCTGCACTCAGGAATCCCTCCTGGCGGTGCTCGGGGGACCCTACGGGATGCTGGGAATCGAATCCGGGTCGGCCGTGTGCCAGGCCAACGCCCTCCCCGCTGGGCTCTTGCTCTGTCCTCTAAACTTTTATTATAATTTTTAAAACTTTTATTTATTTATGTTTTGCTTTCTGGGTCCCACCCGGCGATGCTCAGGGCTGACTTCTGGCTCCGCGCTCAGGAATCCCTCCTGGCTGTGCTTGGGGGACCCTAGGGGATGCTGGGAATCGAACCCAGGTTGGCCATGTGCCAGGCAGACGCCCTCCCCGCTGGGCTATCGCTCCAGCCCCTTGCAGACTTTTTAAAAAACCTCAGTGTTTATTATTATTAATTATTATTATTATTATTATTATTATTTGACTTTTTCAGTCACAACCAGCAATGCTCAGGGGTTCCTCTTGGCTCTGCACTCAGGAATCCCTCCTGGCGGTGCTCGGGGGGACCCTAGGGGATGCCGGGAATCGAACCCGGGTCGGCCGCATGCCAGGCCAACGCCCTCCCTGCTGAGCTATTGCTCCGGCCCCTCTCATCTGCCTTTGGTACACGACGACCCTTTCTGTGCAGTTTTTGTCTTGGGGGTCACAAAAAGACGGACTCCTGGCGGTGCTCAGGGGACCCCACGGGATGCCAGGAATCGAACCCAGGTCGGCTGTGTGCAGGGCAAACACCCTTCCCACTGGATTATGGGTGTGTTCCTGGTCCCTGAGACACTCTCCCATGCTGACACCTCCCCCAGGGACCCCCAGCAAAGCCAGGGCTTGGGTGTGTGTGTGTGTCTGTGCTGAATCTGTGTACACCTGTACACATGTCCTGTGCATGCCTGTGTGTGCATATGGGGTGTGCAGGCTCACGTGTGTGTGTGTGTGTGCCTGTATATGAAACGTGTGCGTGAGTACGACTGGGTGGTCTGTAGGCAGACATATTACAGATGTGTGTATGTACACTGCACACACGTGCACACACGTCTGTAGTCACGCTACCCAGGCAGACAC